CATTAGAATATACACACACAGAATATACACACCCTGACTCAACATATACGAGTCCCCTGAGTCAGGGCGTGACAGTACCCCCCCCAAAGGTGCGGACTCCGACCGCACAACACAAACATAACAGGGTAGGGGCCGGGTGGGCATTCCGCCTCGGAGGCGGATCCAGCTCCGGGCGTGACGACCTCTTACTCTCCGCCTCCCTGTTGCACCCCTGGTCTGGTCTGGACCTCGGCGCGCTGCTTCCCCTCTCCTTCCTCCCACGATACGCCAGGCCCAGTCTGTACCCTGGTGTGGGAGACCCCGAACCTGGAGAGGGGCTGACGTCATGGTCTGGACTGGAGCCGCTAACCGGAGCTGGACTGGCGACGCGCACCACTGGCTTGGTGCGAGGAGCAGGAACTGGCCGGGCTGGACTGATGACGCGCACCACTAGCTTGGTGTGGGGGGCAGGCACGGGCCGTACCGGACTGGGAACACGCACCACTAGCTTGGTGCGAGGAGCAGGAACGGGCCGGGCCGGACTGGGAACACGCACCACTGGCTTGGTGCGAGGAGCAGGAACGGGCCGGACCGGACTGGCGACACGCACCACTGGGTTAGTGCGAGGAGCAGGACTGGGTTCCTATATTAACCCCCGCTCCTTCTGCTACCTAACCAGCTCCTCTCTCCGTGCCTCCACTATTTCCTTCTCCCTTTTAGCCTCCTGTAGCGCCTCCCTCTGACCGAATAACACCTGCACCCTCTGAACCAACAACCCCCGTAACATGGTGGCCTCCTCTCTGAACCTGCAGATCCGCCCTTCCACGGCCTCCTGCTGCCTCGTCGTCCACCCCGTGTGCCCCCCCCCAATTATTTTTTTTGGGGTTGCCTCTCGGGTCTCCATCGTCAGCACTGTTGGCGCTGTTTCTCCTCTCCTACCTGGGCATCTACCTTCATCGCCTCCCGATAACGGACGGCCTCCTCCTTAGTAATTCCCAGGCATTTGCTCCTTCTGGGCACGCTGCTTGGTCCTCGTTTGGTGGGATCTTCTGTCACGTTCGTTCAATGACGGGTCAGACCAAGGCGCAGCGTGATATGCGTACATGTTTATTCAACTAAATAAACACACGACAAAACAATAAACGAAACGAAACGTGAAGTCCTAAGGTAGACACACAACAAACCTTAACCGGAACAAGATCCCACAACTCAACAGTGCCAATAGGCTGCCTAAGTATGATCCCCAATCAGAGACAACGAGCGACAGCTGCCTCTGATTGGGAACCACACTGGCCAACATAGAACTATACATACTAGAATGACAACATTAGAATATACACACACAGAATATACACACCCTGACTCAACATATACGAGTCCCCTGAGTCAGGGCGTGACAGTTATATTGATTACTTTATTTTGTGGTGCCTAATTTAAGGGTAAAAGTGTTAATCTGTGATCTACTTAAAGCTCTTAATCTATGAGCCTGAGATCGATTGCCCTGGTCTCCACCCAAGTTCCCGGGGAAATCGCTTTTCCTCATTACACTAAAGTTCTCAGTGAGGAAACATAACCGTATCACTCTCGTGATTATTTCTCCCCTTTTTCAGGTACGTTATTGATATAAAACAGAGTTAATTTAAATGTAATAACTTGCTAACATGTCAATAGTGTTTAAGGTGTGTTTTAGTAACATCTTGAGTAAGTTAGAGTTAAGTTTGCGGAGTGTAATATGTGTGTGTGTGAGCGGAGCCCCGCTCGGTTGCAGTGAAGAATAGCTTCGTACTGAGAGTAGCTGCCATTTTATGTTAATTGTGAATGAACATGTACGCTGTTAATAATACATTTTGCGGTGTTATTTGTATGTGTTTCAAACACTTTATTGACATTGTTGATAAATGTAGTTATGGTTTACTGAGCTAAAGCTACTTTGTGCTTGACAGTTATATTGAAAAATTAGTATATGTTTCAGTGAATTACAGTGTATGCTGTTGTGACTTGAATAAGCCTTGTACCCTACAAAACTATCTATTTCCTGTAGATCTGTTGTTCTGTAAAATGTGGTACTTTTGTAAAATGATTACACTAAAGTTCTCAGTGAGGAAACATAACAGTATCACTCTCGTGATTATTTCTCCCCTTTTTCAGGGGCGTAACAGCAGCATCATGTTGTGGGGATGTTTTTCAGCAGCAGGGACTGGGGGACTAGTCAGGATCGAGGGAAAGGTGAACCAAGCAAAGTACATTTACATTTACATTTAAGTCATTTAGCAGACGCTCTTATCCAGAGCGACTTACAAATTGGTGCATTCAACTTATAATAGCTAGTGGGACAACCACCCAATATTTTTTTTATTTTTTTATGAGGGGGAGGGGGGGGTAGAAGGATTACTTTACAGAGAGTACAGAGTACAGAGAGATCCTTGATAAAAACCTGCTCCAGAGCGTTCAGGACCTCAGACTGGGGCGAAGGTTCACCTTCCAACAGGAAACGACCCTAAGCACACAGCCAAGACAACGCAGGAGTGGCTTTGGGACAAGTCTCTGAATGTCCTTGAGTGGCCCAGCCAGAGCCCGGACTTGAACCCGATCAAACATCTCTGGAGATACCAAAAAATAGCTGTGCAGCGACGCTCCCCATCCAACCTGACAGAGCTTGAGAGGATCTGCAGAGAAGAATGGGAGAAACTCCCCAAATACAGGTGTGCCAAGCTTGTAGCATCATACCCAAGAAGACTCTAGGCTGTAATCACTGCCAAAGCTGCTTCAACAAAGTACTGAGTAAAGGGTCTGAATACTTATGTAAATGTGATATTTCAGTTTCTATAAACCTGTTTTTGCTTTGTCATTATGGGTTATTGTGTGTAGATTGATGAGGAATAAAAAACAATTTAATCCAATTTAAAGAATAAGGCTGTAAAGTAACAAAATATGGAAAAAGTCTGAATACTTTCCGAATGCACTGTATTTGGTGTGTTCATAAATTCAGTAAATTCAGAGCATTGTCAGATTGTCCGTTCGTAAATTCATCAATCATTCTGTGCTCTGGCACTGTCAAACCAGAGTTCTCTGACATAGGAATAGATTGCCAGAATTAATTTACGAACGCACCCATTGTCCTCGAAGGTAGGTGATACAACTGATCTAAAAATTATATGTATCAACATGTGCTTTAGACATGGTTATTGAGAAGATTGTATCAACGATACTTGGTGTTTTGCCAATTTATATATTTTTACTGATCGCAATTAGACTAGATTTGACCCCCTAGATTGTAGGCCACATTGGCCCTCCTGTAGCTCAGTTGGTAGAGCATGGCGCTTGCAACGCCAGAGTTGTGGGTTCGTTTCCCACGGGGGCCAGTATGAAAATGTATGCACTCGCTAACTGTAAGTCGCTCTGGATACGAGCGTCTGCTAAATGACGTAAATGTAAATTGGTTGGACAGGAAAAAAAACTCCCGCTTCAAATTCGCTCCATTGATTAAAATCACAATTTAATCAACACCCATCTATTTTTGTGACTACCTGGACCAATCAATTGGTTTTTAAGTATTGAAACCAAACCATATGGATTTGAATGAAAAGTATTTGAATAAACATGAAAAGGTGAATGTAAGAAGCGAACATCATTTCAAATAGGCTACATGTCATATTAAACAGCATATAAACACTCTAAATAGGTCAGGAGCCAGACAGGGAGCCTAAGAAGGAACGAAAATGAATTATTTAGGCTATATTATTTCAAGGCTATAGCCTACAAATAAATACATTGTGAAGCATTTGCGAGTGCGACACACTAGGCTGGTAGGGAGTCAATGACGTTAAGCGCTCAGCATTTAAACAGCATTTCATTGTATTAAATCACTATAGTCTATAAATTGCGCATATAGGCTGTGACTTACTTAGAATGAAATACAAATTAAACGAAAAATGACTTATCAGTGCCTTTGAATTCATTTTTAGAAATCATTTTTAGAAACACGAGTTTGGGCAGTCTGTGGCTTCAGGCTCATGCGATGGTGCCTGGAGAGCCGGTCAGCAGCGGAGAATATCCTCTCCACACTTGCAGAGCCACTTGGGATGCTAAACACCCTTTTGGACAGTCTTGCCAGGCTGGGCAGAGATGCAGATTTATTTTGTATTTTGTATTATATAGGTAGGCAAAATAACCCAATCAAAACGGAAAGCTCCTTGAACGTGGGAATATTCTAGGCCTATTGGGCCAAAATCAATTATGGCCCATTGTATAGAAAATAGAACGAAAATGATCGTTTTGTCCAAGATATCTGATTTTCTGTTTATAAATACTTTGCTACAATGAAACACTTAGTTATCTACCCACCTCGTTGGTCCTCATCTTTGTAAGTCACCTTGATTTAGCACCTGTGTGGTTTATCAAATATTTAGCTAACTCCATGACAGTAGCTAAAGCAAGGGGCTATTAGCAGCACACAATTAGACTACAAATGCATGCTGGGGCGGGCATGGCCTGAGCTCCTGAAGTGAGCGCTACTGGAGTGAAATTGGAGCTGGCAAGAAGGCTGACGCTCCATCCTTTGGGAATCTAGCTCCATGCTCCAGTCAACTTGGGCACGCTCTGCTCCGCTCACATACTCTGGTCCCACAGTAGCCTACCTGTAAGGAAAGGTCCATCCACTCAGCCAGTCCCTCTCCTGCACAGTGACTGTCTTCACTCTGGACAGGATGACATTCTTAGCGATCTCCACCCGGAGGGCCAGCATCCCGGCGATGAGGACTTCAGCTGTCCCCATGCCACGCATCACCTCATGAACCAACACATACCTGCCACACAGTACAGTGCCCAAATGACAAGACTGTTATTAGATGCATGCCATTATTGTCAAATTGCAGTTTGTTTTGGGTGTACCGGTAGGCTATACTTACAGCTGTAGGGAGTAAAAGCCCTTGTCGATATCATTGCTTTCAGACATGTTCTGGATAAGAATATAACAAATATTGTAAATGTGGGATTATTCCACTTTCTATTCGGATGCAGAACCGAATGCTGGTGAATGCTCTATTCTAGTTGTTTTGGATCTCAGTGCCGCGTTTGATATTATTGATCATAACATCCTTGTTGACCGGCTGGAGTGGTGGGTGGGAATCTCTGGCATTGCCCTCGACTGGTTCAGGTCAAATATATGTGGCAGACGTTTCTCAGTGAGCATGGGTGGTTCCATATCGTCCCCAGCACCTATTCACTATGGTGTCCGTCAGGGGTCAATTTTGGACCCTATCTTTAGAATATAAAAAATTATATTAACCACTAATCATGTTTAGGGCTTGGTTTGGCACCATTCTATATCTTAGATCTTTTATCTCCCTACGAGACAGGACGCAGCCTGAGATCCTCTGGCAGGGCTACTGTTGACCATTCCAAAGTGTAGGTTGAAGCGAAAGGAGACCAGGCATTTGCCATTAGGGCCCCTAGACTTTGGAATGGTCTACCAGACGAGATCAAGCTTACAGATTCAGGGCCTCTTTTTAAATCCCTGCTGATGGCGGCCCTGAGCAAGGTGACTATTTTAGCATTAATTATTACTTTGTTTGCTCAGAATGTTAGTGTGTTCTGGATCATGAATCGGAAGCTACACACTTATCTCTCCAAGATGACCAAAGGCAACGCCGGTGACAAAGAAGAGGAAGAAAAGGGGGACTACAAGCTAGGCTGAAAAGACTGGCTACACGGCCTCCTCTTCCTAGTATCCTCATGGCTAATGTCCAATCGCTGGAAAATAAACTTTGTGAACTCAGAGCATGGCTTCAAAAACAGACGGACATCATGGAATGCTGTGTCTTTGTTTTTACAGAGACATGGCTTACGGACGATACACTCAACTCTGCTATTCAACCAGATGGCTTTTCCATTTTCCGTATGGATCGAACGGTGGCTGAGTAGGGGGGAGGGGGTATGTTTCCTCATGAACAATTCCTGGTGTATCGAAGTTGAAAACACCTCGAGCACCTGTTCTCCCGACCTGGAGTTTCTGATGCTAAAATGCCAACCCCACCACATGCCAAAGGAATTCACGTGTGCTATTATCACAGCGGTTTACATACCGCCACAAGCAAACATGGAGGCGGCTCTCAGCGAACTGACCAAGATCATTAGTCAGCAAGAATCCTCTCACCCGGAAGCAGTCTTTATTGTTGCAGGTGACTTTAACCAAGCCCGTTTAAAACACATTTTTCAAAGCCTTGAGTAATGAACCTATTTTCAACATATTTGGCTGGAAATGCTCAATGCTTCAGGAAACTGTTTCCCCATCACTAGAGAGAGTCAGCAGTTTTAAGTTCCTCGGCGTTCACATCACAGAGGACTTGTCATGGAGCAACAACACTTGTAAAGATTGAAACACTTTCCCCTCAATCACCCCTTCCCCAAAACACGTGTAAACATTGGACTATAAATTGTGCCTTCCTGTATTATACTTATACTAAAATGTTTATTCTATTCGACTAAGCTCATTTTTTTTTCTTCGTATTCTTATCTTTTATTAGTTCTTATTATTGCTGCATTGTCGAGAAGCAACCTGCAAGTAAGCATTTAGTTGGACGGTGTATACCATGTGTATCCTGTACATGCAACTAATAAAACTTGAAACTTGAAACCTGAAGACACACTTTTATAAAGATGCTTTTAATGTATGATTCCAATGTATGATTTTAATTAGCTATCTTTTTTTTCATTCTCATTCCTCCTGTCTTAGTTTCATTGTTTCAAATAAAGTTATTATTATAACTGTTCTGAACAGGGTTTAGAACAAGAATGCAGAAAATCTAACTTGCCCCTTATTAAGTGCCACCTGTGAAACTTGTTAAGAAGTTTTGTTTCTCTCTAAATGACATCGACGTTCTACTATTATGTGTATCACAGTTATAATAGTAGACATATTTCTGCTACTTTAAATATCGTCTTAAATTCATATAGAAGTTTCTAGAAAATATGTAGATTTAGCTTAACCACCACCTGATTTTATGATGTGCCAAAAGTGCCCGGCACACCTTCACACGGCACACATTCGTGGCCATTGGAGTACGCTGCTCTGCCTCTGTAGGAATAAGCCTACTGCTCAACAAAGCCCCTGACAATCATTTTTGTTAGTAAAAAACGTTAAATTATTTGTTTTTCATTTCAATCGTGCATTCGTTGGATGACTTTTACAATGCTATCTGACCCAGAAAGGATTCCAGAACAATAAGATGAAGGACAGTGCAGTAATAGGGCTAGTAGGACTACACTTCTGCATTGGACACACCTTGTGGTCAAGGTCTACCGATCTAGACTAGACTACTGAAAATAAAGTTTAGACTCATATCTATGAGTATCAATAAAACTACACTTAACAACCCCATTTTCACAATGTCCTTGCTTTGAGATCAATTAGGATACGATGCAGGTTGGTTCAGATAAGGGTAGGGCTATCCACAGAGAACTTGACACTACAACAGTGATCATGTGGTTGGTTATATGAGGCTACACCTTAAGCTTGTTAAGCAACATTACATCTGCTGTGACAAAACAACAATATCCAGTTAGATGGCAGTGATTGAAGTACAAATACTGTGCCCTAGGCTATAAACATAAATAATTCTCAATGCTAATACATCAGACAAGTCTTGAAGACAGATTCAATCAGTCCTCAGTAAGGATGCCAGTTATATTTCCTCTTAACTGTCACTCTTGGTGTCTAATTAAAGGAAAAGGATCGACAACCAATATTGAATTGACTTTTGTCATCTTGATCAAAAAGTGACGTACGTGTGCTTGATGTAAACTTACGTGACCTTTATGCCAATTGTATTTAAAAATATATATTTTAAAAATCACCTTTATTTAACCAGGTAAGCCAGTTGAGAACAAGTTCTCATTTACAACTACGACCTGGCCAAGATAAAGCAAAGCAATGCAATAAAAACAACACAGAGTTACATATGGGGTAAAACAAAACATAAAGTCAAAAATACAACAGAAGATATATATACAGTGTGTGCAAATGTAGCAAGTTATGGAGGTAAGGCAATAAATAGGCCATAGTGCAAAATAATTACAATTAGTATTAACACTGGAATGATAGATGTGCAAGAGATGATGTGCAAATAGAGTTACTGGGGTGCAAATGAGCAAAATAAATAACAATATGGGGATGAGGTAGTTGGGTGGGCTAATTTCAGATGGGCTGTGTACAGGTGCAGTGATCGGTAAGGTGCTCTGACAACTGATGCTTAAAGTTAGTGAGGGAGCAATGATGCAGCATGTGATAGGCTAGACGTAATCACACTGAACATAATATATCCTAGCAGTATATTACAATGCCCTTTGTATATCCAATTGAATTACAGTGAATACAGATCAGATCATACATTCTACAGGGTATATTTGTCTGTGGTGCCTGTATCATTCATGGAAAAAGGCCACATTAACTCTGCCGACTAAGTTGATGCATTTTCAGTCTGCCAAATTAATGTGTCCTTTTCTCATTCATGATTAATATCAGAAATCCCAGACATTGTGGGAGGCAACCCGTCTGCCTAGAGAGACTAATCCGTGATCACTGATTAGAAAAGTGCACGGTCACGTGGGCAGGAAGTGATACTGTGGATCATTGGCACACTGGCTGCGGTAATGATGTAATGAAGGGTGTGAGGCTGAGTCACTCCTCCCCATGGTGACCCTGGCAGGTCCTGGCAGAGGTCCAGGATCCATACATGGGTGACAGAGTGGAGAACTGGATTTATCTGCCCCCTGGGCATTGATTATCATTTGGTCAAGTTTGACTTGTTGTTCCTGTTTCAGAAATATGAATAGATTATAGATGTCTTGAATAAATATTTGTGTCTGGTTTCTCCTTCCATATTGGAAAGGACTTATCAAGTGTTTAAAGGGAAATTGCACCACTTTTGAACCTCATATTCATCATCTCCAGCACTAAATCAGTGTCTACATATGTGAAAGTCAATCAAATGTATTTACAAAGCCCTTTTTACATCAGCAGATGTCACAAAGTGCTATACAGAAACCCAGCCTAAACCCCAAACAGCAAGCAATACAGATGTAGAAGCACGGGAACAAGCCTGACTGTTATAGCCACTGGACTTCTCCTCTTCCACTCTGTGTAGCACCCACTTGGGTGATGCCTCAGCAGCTCTGGGCGCCAGAAAGCTCACCAAACAAAGTTCAGAATAGTAGCCAGTCGTCCTCACTACGAGCCCTCTGCCTCAGCGCTGCTGTATTCCTGTATCTCCCATTCCTCTCACACTTCAGGCGACTCCTCAAATTATGTTCTCAGAAGATCAGGAATTCGCAGCTACGTGAATCAAAGAGCTGATACTGTGTCCAGGTGCATTAGCCAGCTAGCTAGCTAGACAAGCCAAAAAGTGTTAACCTGTCAGTCAATCTGCAAATCTGTGGTTCAAAAACACCAGATATATGCAATAAAAACTAAATGTTATCAAAAACAAAAGAGCTGATTAAAAATGAACAATTTAAAACACCTACAAAAATAACAAAATATGTACACATTTACAGGAGCTGTGTTTAGGCTGCTACTAGGGTATTGTGCTGGAGATAATGAAAATGAGGTTGAAAAGTGGTGGAGTCCCAGTCATGTTGTTGACAGGGACTAAGTGGTCTGGCTGCTAATGGGAAAGGCTTTTCTATCAGATTAGAAAATGACTGCACCATTGAACTAACCTTTATGCAACCCAGGGGGGCTGAATGTGGTATGACTGTGTGAAGGAGATGATACTGTGTTATTTGTGCTTTGCTTCAAGCATACTTAACCCATTAGAGAGGGAGCCCTAGGTTCCCTTGTAGCCCCCTGTGATTAAGGGAACAGGAAAACAAACTTCAAATCAAAGTTTATTGGTTGCATACACAGATTTGCAGATGTTATCGCAGGTGCAGCGAAATGCTTGTGTTCTAGCTCCAAAAGTGCAGTACTAACAGTGCATTAGGGTCGTTGTCCTGTTGGAAGGTGAACCTTCGCCCCAGTCTGAGGTCCTGAGCGGAGCAGGTTTTCATCAAGGATCTCTTTGTACTTTGCTCCGTTCATCTTTCCCTCGATCCTGACTAGTCTCCCAGTCCCTGTCGCTGAAAAATAAGGTTCCACAGAGGAACTCTGGAGCTCTGTCAGAGTGACCATCGGGTTCTCGGTCACCTCCCTGACCAAGGCCCTTCTCCCTCGATTGCTTAGCTTGGCCGGGCGGCCAGCTCTAGGAAGAGTCTTGGTGGTTCCAAACTTCTTCCATTTAAGAATGATGGAGGCCACTGTGTTCTTGGGGACCATCAATGCTGCAGACAAATCTTTGGTACCTTTCCCCAGATCTGTGCCTCGACACAATTCCTTTGACCTCATTGCTTGGTTTTTGCTCTGACATGCACTGTCAACTGTGGGACCTTATATACACAGGTGTGTGCCTTTCCAAATCATGGCCAATCAACTGAATTTATCACAGGTGGACTCCAATTAAGTTATAGAAACATCTCAAGGATGATCAACGGGAACAGGAC